TCATAGTGCTTTTGTACCCTCAGTCACAACAGAATGGAATGTAAGCTGAAGAGCTTACTCCGAGTTATTCAAGCAGAACAGGATTAGTAAGCCTAATGGCTCACTCCAAATCTGAACAGACAAGACGGGTTCGCAAGTTCGACTACTTGCTCATAATCCGCACAATAAATCAACAAAATGTCTTTCCATATCTCATTCACAATTCATGCATTTCCAACTTCATACCAAATGCAGATAATGAATAAACACAAACAAGCCATATCACATAGCCATATCATTTCCCATAAATTCCCATATTATACCGGAGCCTCTTCATGACCCCGATATGTATTCGGGCCGCTTCATGACCCGAATACTGTGATTATGTTGAGGTAGATCTAAGATTAGAATCTACTCACAGCTTTGTCTTCACTCGGCTATGCCCTTGCCTTTGGATGAGCCCCCGGCTTGATCCTTACCTTTATGTACAAGATTTCCAGGTTATTCAAGCACCAAGACACGTATACAATCATCATAATCATGGTTATATTCATGCATGTCAATAAGACCACAAGGGAAGTCATACGATTGTACACTTTACCATGCTTCCTCATTTTGATCATTTCTCCCTTGATACTTAACCAAATCCGTTGATTCTTGTTTCTACTGAAACTATATTCATAGGTCTACAACATATCCAAATTTCAGACCATTTGGATCAGCCTTTTGATCCCAGCAATCATTTTAACTTGACATTTCAAAACTGTCAACAACTTTCTTTTCACTTCAAAACCACTCCCTTCTTCTAACAATTGTTCCTGACCACTCCGACATCAAAACTACATTCTGAACGGTCAGCTCAAATAAACACATATGCTTAACCTCATAACAAATTTCTAGAACGATCCAACGGCGGATTCGCACAGGATCTTACCTCTAATCTGCTGTCCTGCTACAGAAAAACAGTATCGCAGCCCTTCTGTCCAGCGATTTTCCTCGATGAACCAGAGATCATATCGATGATCCCAACGGTCAAATCGTAGCCAAAGAAGTATGAAACCCAACCTACAAATCTCAGGACAATCCAACGGTTTGATTGTCCGGAATCGTCCTTCTAACAGGCTGTCTCGCTGCTGGACGGAAATTGGCAGCACCCCTTTTGCCTCCTTCTTCTTCCTCTTCCTCTCCTTGATATGCTTTTCTTTCTAGCTTTCACTCTTTGTTTCTGAAAGGGGGGGTGGTGGGTTTTGAGGTGGTGAAACCAGGTGAAAGGAAGAGAGCAAGAGAGAGACGTGGGAGAGAGTGAGGGGAAGGGATGAGAAGGAAATGAGAGATAAGAGGATGGGCAGATTTTATCTCCCTTATCTAGAATTCTCCATCCCTCCAAATTGTCTATTTGGCCCCAAACTTTCCTTCACTTGCAATTAAGTCTAGCACTTCCACTATTCACTTTCTTTTTGGTTCAAAAGACTAATTTTTGTAACCCAATCACAACCACGTAATTATAACGTAATACTAGTACGAGGGCAGGGATGTTACATTTCCTCCCCTCTAAATAAAATTTCGTCCCGAAATTTACCTTGAAACAAGTAGGGGTATTGTGCTTTCATGCTTTCTTCCGTCTCCCACGTGGCTTCTTCTCCAGTGTGACTTTTCCAAATTACTTTCACCATAGGAATACTTCGATTCCTAAGTTGTTTCACCTTTTGGTCCACGATCTCTTTTGGTTCCTCCACATAGCTTAGATCTTTCTGGACCTCAATCTCATCTGGTTCCAGTACATGTGACGGATTCGATCGGTATCTTCGAAGCAAACTCACATGGAAGACATCATGAACTTGAGACAATTCTGGTGGTAAGGCAAGTCGATAGGCTACCGGACCTATCTTTTCCAGAATCTCATAAGGTCCGATATACCTCGGACTTAACTTACCCTTCTTCTGGAATCTCAAAACACCTCTCCAAGGAGACACTTTCAAAAATACTTTCTCTCCACTCTGAAATTCCATCTCTCTTCGGTGGATATCAGCATAGCTCTTTTGCCGGTTTTGTGTGGCCTTCAATCGGCTTCTGATAACTTTAATCTTATCCACTGTCTTCTGAACGATTTCAGGTCCCTCCAATTGCCGTAACCCTTCCTCATCCCAGCACACTGGGGATCTGCATTTCCTTCCATACAGAGCTTCGTATGGAGCCATACCAATACTACTATGGTACTGGTTATTATAAGCAAATTCAATCAGTGGCAAATGTTCATCCCAAGAACCTTGGAAATCCAGTACACAAGCTCGCAACATTTCCTCAAGAGTGAGGATTGTTCGCTCGGATTGACCATCGGTCTGGGGATGAAAAGCGGTTGAAAAGTTCAGACGAGTACCTAGTGCTTCTTGCAAACTCTTCCAGAATCGAGAAGTGAACCTCGGATCTCTGTCAGAGACGATGGATACTGGTACTCCATGTAGTCTCACTATTTCCTCCACATACTTCTTTGTCAAGAACTCTAGCGAACAACCCCATCTAATGGGTATAAAGTGAGCCGACTTTGTCAATCGATCCACAATGACCCAAACGGCGTCGTTCTTCTTCTGAGTCCTAGGTAGACCATAGACAAAGTCCATGGTAATCTTTTCCCATTTCCATTCTGGAATGGACAGTGGTTGCAATTTTCCCGCTGGGGCTTGATGTTCAGCTTTCACTTTCTGACATACCAGACACGTCAAGACATGTTCAGCCACTTCTTTCTTCATCCTTGGCCACCAATAATGAGATCTCAACGAACGGTACATTTTTGTCGTTCCGGGATGCATTGCATAAGGAGAGGAATGAGCTTCTTCCAAAATCTCCCTTCGCAATTCATCCACATTTGGAACACAAAGTCTTTCATTTAGTGTCAGAACGCCATCTCGGAATGTGAATTTAGTTTCTTCCTCTTTACGACTCTTATCAATAATCTTCCTCAATTCAGGGTCTTGATCCTGAACTTTAATAATTCTTTCTCTCAGAATTGGTCGCACTTGTAAAGTGGCCAATAACCCTCCTGTGGAACTCATTTCCAATTCAACACTCATAGCTCTCAAAGCAATCAAATTTGCCATTAAACCAGTCTCCTCATTTTTAGTACGATGCGTGGTCTTTCGACTCAAAGCATCTGCCACAACATTTGCTTTGCCTGGATGGTATTCGATGGTACAGTCGTAATCTTTCAACAACTCTAACCATCTCCTTTGCCTAAGATTTAGCTCTTTTTGCTCCATCAAGTACTTGAGACTCTTATGATCAGTAAAGATCTGAAAAGTCTCACCGTACAAATAATGACGCCAAATCTTTAAGGCAAATACCACAGCCGCCAGTTCTAAATCATGAGTCGGATAAGATTTCTCATACGGTCGTAATTGCCTGGAAGCATAAGCAATTACTCTACCATGTTGCATGAGAACACATCCTAACCCTTGATGCGAAGCATCACTGTATACCACATAACCTCCAGTTCCTGAGGGAAGGGCAAGAACCGGTGCAGTGGTTAACTTCCGCTTCAACTCATCGAAACTGGATTGACATTTATTATCCCATATAAAAGATTGCTCTTTCCTCAGTAACTTTGTCAATGGTGCAGCAATCAGAGAGAACCCCTCAATGAACCTTCTGTAGTATCCGGCCATGCCAAGGAAACTTCTTAGTTCAGGTATATTTTTCGGTGGCTCCCATTGTATCACTGCTTCTACTTTCCTTGGATCCACCTCTATACCTCTCTCAGACACCACATGGCCCAAAAATACTACTTGATCCATCCAAAATTCACATTTGCTGAACTTAGCATACAATTGCTTTTCCCTCAGAATCTGCAGTACGATTCTCAAATGCTCCATGTGCTCTTCTTCACTTCCAGAATACACTAGAATATCATCAATAAAGACGATCACAAACTTATCTAGATATTCCTGAAACACTCGGTTCATCAGTGCCATGAACACAGCTGGAGCATTTGTTAACCCGAAAGGCATAACGAGAAATTCGTAATGCCCATACCTAGTACGAAAGGCTGTCTTCGGTATGGACTCATCCGCTACCCTTAATTGATGATAACCTGATCTTAGATCAATCTTGGAAAAGACCCTCGATCCTTGTAGTTGGTCAAATAAATCATCAATCCGAGGTAATGGATATTTATTCTTAACCGTTAACTTGTTGAGCTTCCGATAGTCAATACACAGACGAAAAGTTCCATCTTTCTTCTTCACAAATAATACCGGAGCGCCCCAAGGGGAGACACTAGGTCTAATAAACCCCTTATCTAGCAACTCTTGAAGTTGCTCCTTCAGTTCTTTAAGTTCAAACGGAGACATCCGGTACGGAGATACAGAGATCGGAGCAGTGCCCGGTATCAGTTCAATAGTGAAATCTATTTCCCTTTCCGGAGGTAATCCTGGCAGTTCCGAAGGGAACACATCCAGGAACTCCTTCACAACCGGAACATTTTCAGGTTTCAATTCCGGTTTGCCCTCAGTCACATAAGCCAGATACACTTCACAGCCTTCCTTCATCAAACTCACCACCTTGGTGGCCGAGACTAGGCAACTAGGCACCACCTGTCTAGTCCCTCGAAAAATCACATTCTGACCATCTGGTCTTTCGAAAATTACTTCCTTAGTATAACAGTTCATTACGGCTCTATGTTGGCTTAACCAATCCATTCCTAGAATTATATCAAATTCAGTCAGCACTAACCTCAATAAGTTAGCTGGCAGAATAGTTCCAGCTAGACTTATTGGGGCATCAGGATAGGCATATTCAATCACTACGGTATCTCCTACTGGGGTTTGAACTATTACATTCTTGTTCAACATTTCATAGTGCACAGGCAACCCACGTGAGAATGCAGAAGATATGAATGAATGAGTGGCGCCAGGATCAATCAACGCATAAGCGGCAAGATCGTAGATAAGAACCGTACCAGTAACGACCTCTGGAGAGATGTCAGCCTCCCTCCTAGTCATAGCAAAGGCTCGTGGCTGAACTTCACCCCGACTGCTCTGTCCACCCTGACTTTTGCCACGATTATTACCACCTCTTCCTGATCCTCTCACTGAACCTCCAGTCCTTCTGGACCCTTGAATTGTGGTCTGGGATCCAGCAGGCCTGGACTCTGACATGTGGGGACAATCACGGAGGAAGTGGCTGGTGTCTCCACATCGGAAACACCCACCAGTCACCCTCCTACAAACACCCACATGCTGATTCCCACAATGTGGGCAAATATGAGCTGGGCCTGCACTTCTCCGCTCCTGTCCGGGGTAACTGGCCACTGGACGTGAAATCTTCGGAATCTGATTAGGTCTACCCCCGAATGAGTTCCCAGCACTCGAGGAACCCACATTCTTCCACGTCCTCTTCCTTCCTTCAGCCATTTGTGCTCCCAATTCATTCACCAAATCCTCTGCTCTCATGGCAGCCTCTCTCAAGGTGGCAAGATCAGTCGTCTCTGATTTTGCTACTATCATCTTGATCTGGGGATTCAGGCCTTGCTCATAGCGGTTACATCTAGCTCGTTCAGTAGGTACCAACTCCATCGCGAAGGTCATCAAACGATGGAAAGTGGCATCATACTCTTTAACAGTCTGCCCCCTTTGCTGTTTCAGGTCCAGAAACTCTTTCTTCTTCCTATCCACATACAGATCAGGCACATATTGCTTACGGAATTTCTCAAGAAATTCCGCCCAGGTATACCGAATTGTACGATCCTGAGCCCCAGGTACGGTCAACCACCAGTCATAAGCATCAGACCTGAGCAGGTAGTACATATACTCCACTCTTGCTTCATCAGGACACTCAAGGAGGTTAAAGATTCGTTCCATCTCCTTGATCCAGTCCAGAGCATCTTTAGGGTCAATAGCCCCTTTAAAGAACTCAGCCCCCATATTCCTCAGCCTTTCAAAATCCTTGACATAAGGATTGGCTCTATTGCGGGACTCAGCATTATTCCCATTAAAATTAGAACCTCCAGCATTAGGGTTCCCGTGAGGTTGCGGATCTGCTCCTTGACTGAACTCCACAAAAACAAAATCCGGAGTCAAAATCAGTAATTAGTCACTTCCCCGTGAAATCATTTAAGTATTCCCAGTAAAATCTCGTTTAAAACGTTTGGTATCCACGGGATCATATCCCAGCTCTGATACCAAAAATGTGAAACCCTTACTTTATATTACAAAACGAAACAGTAAAATACATCGAGTTTAAACATTCTCGGGCCCGAGCTTTACATATATTTTTTTTTTCAAACTTCAAACCATCATTTACATTTTCATCACAGTCAAAACAGAAAGCCGGGGAAGTCCGCTTTATTACAAAATCCACACAACATAAAACATTTAAGGAGTTCGGAGTCCTCCGCCCACCTCATGGCTTCCCTTCACGCTTGAGTCCCGATATCTACAGTACAGACCTTACTTCTGATCTTGATCTGAGGAAAAATGATGACGAAGGATGAGTCGTCGCTCAGTGAATAAATTCTAAGCTCGGATCGACATCAATACAAAAACAGTATTGGGCAGAAACACCCTAGCACATAACAGGACTTAAGCTGATTATTCTACTTCCCATTCCACAGGATCAACCAAGTTCACATGTTCACATCTCATAGACAAAAACACATAAAGCAGATGACAGATAGAGGCATTTTACTTATACAATTTCACTTTCAAACTTGCTAAATGATATACTCCTCGGGTAGTACAGTAGTGGAAGGCTGCAGGATAACCATGACCAGCCATCAGATAACTGGAGTACCGCGGGACAAAACCCCATCCGGTACGAACAGGAGTGCACAAGGCACGAAACAGGAGTGCTCAAGGCACGAAACAGGAGTGCTCGCACCAACAGGAATATCGCGGGACACAACCCGGACCGATACAAAAACAGGAGTCGCCACGGGATTACCCCAGCCTGGCTAACTGAACAGAACAGGAGTACCGTGGGTCGTCACCCAAACGGCACGGTGCGAAGCACGAGCGCTCAAACAGGAGTATCGTGGGGTTTAACCACATCGATACAAACAGGACACACTACTGTACCGAGGTATCATAAAACCTTTTTACTTATTCTTAAGTATTCACCTCTTTTCATTAATAGTTCACTTAGACACTATGGGCTCAAAAGCATTCATAGTGCTTTTGTACCCTCAGTCACAACAGAATGGAATGTAAGCTGAAGAGCTTACTCCGAGTTATTCAAGCAGAACAGGATTAGTAAGCCTAATGGCTCACTCCAAATCTGAACAGACAAGACGGGTTCGCAAGTTCGACTACTTGCTCATAATCCGCACAATAAATCAACAAAATGTCTTTCCATATCTCATTCACAATTCATGCATTTCCAACTTCATACCAAATGCAGATAATGAATAAACACAAACAAGCCATATCACATAGCCATATCATTTCCCATAAATTCCCATATTATACCGGAGCCTCTTCATGACCCCGATATGTATTCGGGCCGCTTCATGACCCGAATACTGTGATTATGTTGAGGTAGATCTAAGATTAGAATCTACTCACAGCTTTGTCTTCACTCGGCTATGCCCTTGCCTTTGGATGAGCCCCCGGCTTGATCCTTACCTTTATGTACAAGATTTCCAGGTTATTCAAGCACCAAGACACGTATACAATCATCATAATCATGGTTATATTCATGCATGTCAATAAGACCACAAGGGAAGTCATACGATTGTACACTTTACCATGCTTCCTCATTTTGATCATTTCTCCCTTGATACTTAACCAAATCCGTTGCTTCTTGTTGCTACTGAAACTATATTCATAGGGCTACAACATATCCAAATTTCAGACCATTTGGATCAGCCTTTTGATCCCAGCAATCATTTTAACCTGACATTTCAAAACTGTCAACAACTTTCTTTTCACTTCAAAACCACTCCCTTCTTCTAACAATTGTTCCTGACCACTCCGACATCAAAACTACATTCTGAACGGTCAGCTTAAATAAACACATATGCTTAACCTCATACCAAATTTCTAGAACGATCCAACGGCGGATTCGCACAGGATCTTACCTCTAATCTGCTGTCCTGCTACAGAAAAACAGTATCGCAGCCCTTCTGTCCAGCGATTTTCCTCGATGAACCAGAGATCATATCGATGATCCCAACGGTCAAATCGTAGCCAAAGAAGTATGAAACCCAACCTACAAATCTCAGGACGATCCAACGGCTTGATTGTCCGGAATCGTCCTTCTAACAGGCTGTCTCGCTGCTGGACGGAAATTGGCAGCACCCCTTTTGCCTCCTTCTTCTTCCTCTTCCTCTCCTTGATATGCGTTTCTTTCTAGCTTTCACTCTTTGTTTCTGAAAGGGGGGGTGGTGGGTTTTGAGGTGGTGAAACCAGGTGAAAGGAAGAGAGCAAGAGAGAGACGTGGGAGAGAGTGAGGGGAAGGGATGAGAAGGAAATGAGAGATAAGAGGATGGGCAGATTTTATCTCCCTTATCTAGAATTCTCCATCCCTCCAAATTGTCTATTTGGCCCCAAACTTTCCTTCACTTGCAATTAAGTCTAGCACTTCCACTATTCACTTTCTTTTTGGTTCAAAAGACTAATTTTTGTAACCCAATCACAACCACGTAATTATAACGTAATACTAGTACGAGGGCAGGGATGTTACAGTACCAGAGTCTCCCCTGCCTCCAAATGCCCCTAAGGGCGATCAACAAATCAAAACATGCAGCAAGTCCAACCCACATTGGGACTTGCCATGCATAACCAACTTGGTGTTATTTCCATCGATAACACCAACATCAGATTTACTTCCAACTCCAAACCTGCCGCTCCAAATCGACTTCTCAATCTTTAAAACCAGAACAAACATCCTTGGTGATCGAAAACCTTGATCACTACCAAGGGCAACAAACAGAATTCTACCCGTGAACTTATCAATCTTTATACTGATAGCAGCCATCCAAACTTCTCCACACAAAAAAAATACCACACTCCGGATAAACTAATAAAAAATTAGTTTCGGGCTCAAACTCCACGTTGCCAATTGCCAAAAGCTACTCTGCACAATCCCAAAAGATTTGCAGTGACTAGAATTAATTCCAAGTTGCACAAACTTCCCAAAATTCCCAGCTTATGGCAAATCACAAATCAAATAGTCTTTTCCTTTGGTAAAGCTTGTGCAGCGGAACCCAATAATTCTTCTCCCAAATGACGGCAAACAAATTGTGATTAATAATCACAATGATCCGGCTCCCCAAAAAACAAAGCAATTGTGCCTCCAACAATCCAAATTGAAGCCGGAGAGATGGAAGACAAATCCGTACCAAAATTAGCTGCTGCGCACGTTCAACAACCGTCGAAAACGATTTCAAATAATCCAAAATCAACTAGCAGCACGATCCCAAAATTCGCCGAGATAGTTTCAAATAACCCAAAGATTAACCAGGCTCAACAAAAGACCAAACTCAAAGCTTCGCCACTTTCTTCCAAATTCAAGGCTATGACCTAACAATCTCCACCTTCACCTTTGAAACTGAAACCCTTGCTGTCGAGTAGACTCAAAGATATAAGATTCTTAGTCATCTCTGGAATATGCCTAACATTGTTCAAGGTGCGAACAGAACCATCATGTGTCCTCATCCTGACGGAGCCTCTTCCAACAATCTTACAGATAGCACCATTGGCCATAGAAACATGTCCTCCATCTATCTGCTCATAAGTTGAAAAACACTCCCTACTTGGACACATATGGTAATCAGCTGCAGTATCTAAATACCACACATCCTGATGATGTACCTGTTCATTCACTGCTAAGGCTAAACCATCTTCAGAATCAGAGTTAGTTTCTTCCGCCACAGCAGCAGATGATTCCTTCTTCTCCTGATATTTCTTCAGTTTAGGACAATCAAATTTCCAATGTCCTTCCTCCTTGCAGTAATGACAGATGTCATCCTTCAAACCAGCTTGTTGTCTCCTACTACTCGTAGCAGCCAATCCAGATGCCTGATTTTCCGAACCAGAACCAGACGCCTTATGTCAAACCTCCCTAGTATGTAGAGCAGATCTGACATCTTCCAAATACAAACTATCTTTCCCAGCAATAAAAGAATCCACAAAATTCTCATATGACTGTGGCAAAGATACTAACAAAATTAAGGCAGCATCCTCATCATCTACTTTAACATCAATATTCTGCAGATCTAACAAGATAGTATTGAGTTGATCTAGATGATTCCTGAGAGATGTACCTTCCTCCATACGCAAACTGAACAAACGTTGCTTCATATGCAACTTGTTGGTTAAAGACTTTGTCATGTATAGACTTTCAAGCTTCAACCACAAGCCTGCGGCAGTCTTCTCAGCAGCAACCTCAGTGATGATGTCATCAGCCAAACAAAGCAAGATTGTAGAGTGAGCTTTCTCCTCCAAAGTAATCCACTCTTCTTCATCTATACTTTCCTTCTTCGATTTTCCCTCTCAAATACCAGATGTACCATACGCAACCAAAGTTGCCAGATGTACCAGACGCAACCTAAGTTGCCAAATGTACCCAACCGCGATACATATCGCCAGACGTATCCAAATGCGATCGAAACCTCCAAACTCAAATGCGATGCAAAATCGCCAAATTTAGATGCAATCAAAATTGCCAGACGTATCCAAATGTGATCCATATCACCAGACTTAAATGCGATGTATATCGCCAAACTCAAATGCAATAAAAATTGCCAGAAGTACCAAACTCTCCAAATCTCCAAATGTATCAGAACCTCCCCTGCCTCCAAATGCCCCTAAGGGCGATCAACAAATCAAAACATGCAGCAAGTCCAACCCATGTTGGAACTTGCCATGCAGAACCAACTTGGTGTTATTTTCGTCCATAACACCAACATCAAATATACTACTAACTCCAAACATGCAACTCCAAATTGACTTCTCGATCTTCAAACTGATAGCATCCATTCTTACTATCAAACAAACTCCAACCAAACTTCTCACCAAAAAAGCGAGACCAAAACACTACCACCCAAAGTCAACTTCAAAGCGATTCCTCCACCGAACCAAGTTGAAGAATTGAAAGCTACCTCCACAAAGCAAAACTTCAGTCCAGCGCCAAATTCCCAAAACCGCAACCAGGCTCTGATACCACTTGTCGGAATAGGGTGCTCAATTAGTACGATATTGTCCGCTTTGGGCCAAGCCCGCACGGTTTTACTCTTGGGTGTCCTCCCCAAAATGCCTCGTACTAATGAGCTTGGTGGACACTAATATACAAGGGTTCCTTCCCTTGTATTACCGATGTGGTACTTGGATTGTCCCATAACAATCCTCCCCTCAAGCCAAGGACAACAGATTTCGTGTCCTCACCTCAATGATTATCTTGATCCGCCAGACACCTTGTATCGATGGGCTTCTCGTCACAAGGATTTTTCCAGACGCCGAACTCTCTTTGATCCGTCAAACAGACATGGATCGCAAATCCCGAGGCCACCAAACGAGGGTCCCACCAAACTGATGTCCACTGCCCCGGATCTACCGAACCAGGCTCTGATACCACTTGTCAGAACAGAAGCGTGCAATCGATAATCCAGACCAACACGAACGAACATGAATTTAACGTGGTTCACTAACACAATGTGTGCTAGCTAATCCACGGACAGAGGAGAACAAAATTTCACTGATTTGAGGAGAGTACAAGTTACAAACCAAATTCCGGAATGGACAAACCAAACAAACTAACCTGACTGACTTTACTACAGACTAGGGTGATAAAGAGTATTTATAGAACTCTTCTCCTAATCCCAAACAGAAAACCAAACACCTTTTTCCAAACTTACAAGGAAAAGGTCAAAACAAAACCCAAACGCAAACCCAAGCAAAAGCATTTATTTATTGAAAAGCTTGACTAATATTTATTCAACTTTTAAAGTTTTGGCTAATCAATTGTGTTTACCCTTTTTCATTGAACATCACGTTACAGAAAGTTTTCCAATTTTGCATCAAGTTTTCTAACTCAACATCATCTAAAGAAATTTTTAACAAAAATATGATAGGTGGCTAATATTTTGTCATTTAAAAAGTTTGCCTAATATTTTTTCAAAATCGATACATTTTTCTAATAAATTATATTTAATAAAATAAAAATGGTACTTACTTTATTCTACCTATATATAAAAACCAAGTCCTACCTTGAAAATGATTTTGCAGCCAATTTGAAAAATGGGTAAAAATCACACCGAACCCGAAATCCGTCGATACCAGTTTTTATCAGTTTTTACCGACTCATGTCGAATTGGGTATGCATGGTCCAGGTTCATTTTCTATCCCTATTAGTAGGCAACAACTGCCGATAAAGGACCATGGACTCAAACCAGTGGTAAGAGATTAGGCGATGAGTTGAGTATCCATTTGGATGGGCAAGAATAGGATATCTCATCGAAAAATGGATACAAAATATCATGTCATACCACCATGATATGAATCATATTCACTTTGACACAATCATATCACCAACAAATCAGGGATAATTAGACACGAATTTTGTAGGTTTTACCGTAATTCAAGCCAGATTGCATTTATGAGAATAATAATTACGGATTGGAAACAAAATTCAAAACATAAAGCATAAGTTTGCAAAACTTGTGGGTGGCAGTGGCACAACCAAAAGTAAAAGAACGAAAAAAGCAAACACATTATAATTGTTAGGAGAACGGATCATTTGGGAGTTGGGACTAAATTAATAAGTGGGTAAAGTCAAAACTACCCTTCCAAAAATTAATCTCGTTCCTCTATTTTTGAAATGGAGGAAAATCCATGCTTGAACAGTTGAACCATATAACAAGAGTTGTATATAGATTGTTGTGAGCATGAAAGTGACAAATTGATTATGTGGTAGAGCAACAAATTAGGCCCAAATCAATCGTTGTTTCAGGCAATTGGTGACTATAGTAGAGAAAGAATCATAGAAGGGGGTGAATTGGGTTTATATACATCTACACATCTTCAACGAAACATCATAGATGGCTGATTAATTGAACCTGCAAACCAGGGGTTCTTACTGTATTATTGTACTAAATATTGAAGGCCACTATACTTTGATAAAGACAAGTCTTCTTGGCGACAATTTGTGTTGGAAATTTGGTTGAATCGAATCGGTTTTAGGTTGGACCGACCAACCAGTTTGGGATTAAATAAACCAAACAAGATGAATCAAATTCATGGTGCTGGAATGTTGTGATGCCAAGCTTAACTCCTTTTAAGTTGGACTTTAATCATCACGTTGCATTTGAATTGGTAGTTAGCCACCAAACAATGCAATCATTCCATAAATTGAATTTGAAAGCCATTAAACAATGCTTAGCCAGCATGGACACGTTTCATGCAAGTAATGGTGAAGGTTAATTAGACTAAATTCCCCACGTGATGGAGACCTACGTCCCTCTTATAAAGGGTAGTTGCTATGGATAAATGCACGTTTAATGAAATGATGCATGATTTTGAATGAAGCAATATAATGCTCCGTTACCTATAAATAGAAGGACTCGGCTCATGGTGAAGAAAACACACACCAAAAACTTGATTCTCTTCTTCCACTTTAATTCTAAGTATGCTTTAGGTACTTAAGTCTGAAACCTAAAGTGGTGATAGTTTTATCCTACGAAGAAATTTCTTGTAACCCAAGGCTTTGTGGAGGGTGGAAATATTCTTTACGGAAAGTGAACGTTGTTCACGACTCTATCATTATCCTAGTCACCCGATGTTGGGCTATCATACGTGTACCCTCGTCCCTAAAAATCCCAACAATCGTAAAGAATATTTTCCGGTACGATGGCTCGAATCGCTCTTTACAAGAAACCGGTTCTGGTTTATGGAAATATGAGAATGTTCTATAATGAGTTTTTCATCGATGGCAGTAGAAGATGAGTTTTCTTCGTACTAGTCTCATGGTGTATTCCATATCCGGAAGGTAACTTGGAAGAGAGATGATTCGAAGATGAGGAAGAAGTCGGTACTTGATGAATCCTAGTTCTCATCATTTGAAATGAAATGAGGTGTGTACTAGGCACATTGTATTGACTTATTGTGACTTTCCATCGATTTTAGAAGGACTTGTTGATGTTAGTTGGATTTCTCATGTTAAAGGTGATACTTCAACATCGAGATGAGTTCTCTTTCTTGGGGGAAGTGCCATGTCTTGGGCCTCTAAAAAGCAAACTTGCATTAGTAAGTTTCACTATAGAGTCAAAGTTTGTGGCCTTGATCTCTCTTAGAGAAAATGCATTATTGTTGAGATGCTTCGTTTATGACATTAATTTATGGCAAAACTAATATCACCTATAATATTCTTAGTGATAGTAATGCTACTTTGGCTAAGGCATATAGCCAAGTGTAATGATAAGTATGGTCATGTGGGAGATAGGCACTCTAAAATCTGTGAATTGATCACTCATGGAATTGTGTCTATGTAATGTGACCGGACTTGAGATAATTTAGTTGATCGTTTGACGAAATGATTAACTCGTGACTTGGTGGTCAAGTCTGTGAAAGGGATGGGTTTAAAGTCCATATAATTTCTGATCATGGGATACCCAATTCCCCTCTAATACAACGTTAGAGGCTGAATTCAATGTGGAAAGCTCATTGTCAGAAATTGAAGCACACAATTTGTCATCCCGAGGTATGTGCTTATTATCCTGCATGAGAGAAGAGGATGAAGTTTAAAACTTCTTAATTGAATCTTTGAAAAAGTGTATTATGCGGGTACATGAATAAGAGATTCAACCTACGTAAGCATGAAGTGTAGCCGCTTCAAGAAACCCGAACTTTGGTTTCGTGTGCGCTTATGAGAAGGATTAGACACATCGCGGGCAATAGTGTCAAGGCGCTTAGAAGTTTTGAAAACTTAAGTGTATATTATCTTTGAATATTCATATGAGTCAATGGGTTCAATCGTTACCGACACCCTTTGTATTCGTATAATCGTTAAGTGTAATATACTAAGATGAAAATTCAATCGTCAAGACATTTTCATTTATGCTTAAGTTTTGTTGGAAGAATGTTGAATGTTATGATTTTAGTGCATTCTATGAATACACTAAAATGGGGGAGGAATGTTGAAAATTTGGTTGAATCGAACCGGTTTTGGGTTGGACTGACCAACCAGTTTGGGATTAAATCAACCAAACAAGATGAATCAAATTCATGGTGCTGGAATGTTGTGATGCCAAGCTTAAGTCCTTTTAAGTTGGACTTTAATCATCACGTTGCATTTGAATTGGCAGTTAGCCACCAAACAATGCAACCATTCCATAAATTGAATTGAAAGCTGTTAAGCAATGCTTAGCCAGCATGGACACGTTTCATGCAAGTAATGGTGATGGTTAATTAGACTAAATTCCCCATGTGATGGAGACCTACGTCCCTCTAATATGGGTAGTTACTTCCTTAAGCAATACATCCCTTCAATAAAGGGTAGTTGCTATGGATAAATGCACGTTTAATGAAACGATGCATGGTTTTGAATGAAGCAATATTATGCTTCGTTACCTGTAAATAGAAAGACTCGGCTCATGGTGAAGAAAACACACACCAAAAACTTGATTCTCTTCTTCCACTTTTATTTTAAGTATGCTTTAGGTACTTAAGGCTGGAACCTAAAGTGGTGATAGTTTTATCCTACGAAGAAATTTCCTATAACCCAAGGCTTTGTGGAGGGTGGAAATATTCTTTACGGAAAGTGAATGTTGTTCACGAATCTATCATTATCCTAAACACCCGGTCTCGGGCTATCATACGTGTACCCTCGTCCCTAAAAATCCCAACAATTTGTTCATTAGCTGGATCTACAGGTTGCGTGAAAATGGCTCTCATAAACTTTGGAGAACAACAACCCATGAGAAAGCAGTTCACATATAAGAAGATGATAGAACCAAATCAATTTATTGTGGAAAGAAAAAGGTTCAGAGGTGAATCTAAGTAAATTGGCTCTTTGAGCGTCGAACATGATTTCCAATGATTCTGAAAGAAACAAGATCAAATGATCTTGCTCTTAGGGATTGATTTGGAGGACTTGGAAATAGAAATGGGGAGAAGAGTCTTAGAGATTGAGATGATTAGAAAAGGGAGGGAGAGGAATTAGGGAGGGAGCTGGCTGCTCTTGGTAGAGGGAGAGAAGACACAGACGTGGGAGAGAGAGAGTGATTATTTTAGGTTTTAGGGTAAATCTTATGATAATAACCGGCTTAATAAAAATGGTTCCCGGTTTACCGAATATAAACCCGAAATAATTCCCTTCTACTACCTAAAGAATAATTCCTAACCCGAATAGACAAATAATGCCTAAAATCCCAAAAAGAACATCCAAAGCCCTAAACTTAATTAACCGAAAAATTGGGACAAATCCCCAAATAAAACAAATCCCTAATTATTTCCCAACACTATCGCGAGTAGCTTGGCTAATTTGCAGCCCTATCCTCAACACTATCAGTGAAATCAACATTATCTTCAGGACTATCCTATGGTTGCTGCCCCTCCAGCATCTTTATATGGTCATCAACTTGTTCAATGTTGGTGTTATAAACGCGCTGCTACGGATCGAGAAATCGCCGGAATCGACAAAGCAAGAATACGAAAGCGAGAATCGAAAAACACAGACACACGATTTACGTGGTTCACTAACACGATGTGTGTTAGCTAGTCCACGGGCGAGAGAGAGCGAGTTTCACTATATCGAGGAGATTACAGATTACAGAGGAGTATGAGAAGTATTTATAGTACTTCTCCATGTGGGTCTAAACCTAATCCAATCTGGCAAAGGAAACGGTTACAGACCAGGCCCAGAACCCGGTCAGCGAGACCCCCGATTACCAGTCGTAGCGGCTGATAGTCCGATTCAAGTCATATCAACAGTTGGTACTGTAATGACTAACCATCCTCAACAAAGACCTCTTATAACTTTCCATGTCATTCTTCAACTTATATGCCTACAAAAACATGAAAACAACCCAAGTTAGTGAACAACCCAAAAGTAAACCATAAACCTTCTAAAGAATCTCACATTCCTTTTAATGAACACCTGAAACACACGTATACAAACCACATATGTTTGAATTCTCACAAAAAAAAAGCTACCAAACGATGAATACCATAAAGTATTCCTTTAACGAAGTAATGCAAACCACTATTCTTTTAACAGAAACCACAAGTACACTAAAGCAACCCATAGAACAAACAACAGAAAACACAACTAACCAGCACATGAATAAAATAAAGTATTCCTTAAAAAAACTAATGCAAACCACTATCCTTTTAGAGCACACCAAAAGTATGATAAAGCAAGCCATAAAACGAATAACACAGCAAAGTCACTCACATCTTCAACCGAATGAATACCATCCAAGTTTATGTCAAGATGGGGCAGGTTCGGTAGATCCCCTTCCCTATCCATATCAAGATCATCCACTGCCCTTTTCCTCTTTGTACACTTCATACGTCCTCGTCCCATTGGTTGATTGGAGGTTGTTTGTTCTTCCTCCACTACATATCGATGACCAATAAAGAGATGGACTTCGTCCATTAGTACTTGAAAAGTAGCACTTGCGACTTTGTTCGACCTGTGCCTACAGGTCGGTATGGGCAGCTCAGGGGGTTCTTCAAACGGTCAAGAATAGAAATCTGCCACATATACAAACAGACAGAAGTCAAACAACCACAAACAAACTGTGCCAGAAAGATTATAGTACACACCACATAAATGATAAACTATACCAGAAACATTATGACAGAAGGGGGGGGGGACCAAACCATAAATATTTTTAAACGGCTAAATTATACGTTTGGTCACTCAAATTATACAAATCTTTCACGTTCGCCACCCGAATTACTTTTCTTTCTTATTCGCCACTAACTTTACGAATCGTTTCACGGTTGGTCACCGGCCGTTACACTCCGTTAAGTTTGTCCTACGTGGCAGTCAACTATAAAGTTTGACCGTTAACTAGATGACGTGGAAATTAAAAAGTAATCAAAAAAATTTCTTTCCACCTCATCATTGCACTTATTTTGTCTATATAATTTATCATATTAATAATTTGATAAAATTTAATAAATTACAGCGTGGATTTTATTCTTAGCCGTCAAGAGACAGTTCCAGCAGTCGTACTCTTCCAGGTCTTCGTAGCAAACCGCGCCGCCTGTCGGGGAACCTAGGTTGCGATTCGGCATGCTGTGCGTGAACGATGGGTCGTTGTTCCTGTTTCTGTATCCTTACCTTGTCTGATCCACCAACGTATCCACGAGGCGCGCCACGTTGTGGTTGTAGAACTTGTTCTCGATCGGATTTCCCCATGCAGTCTGGTCCCTTCATGATGGTCATGTCTGGGAATTTGCCGTGGGCAAGGCTCGAAACCATACCCAGAACATCGATAGAAGCTACTGCAAATTTTGACCTGTAATGCATATCTTCTTCTTGTGTGTTTTGGGTGAGCAATCGTTGTAACCTGCGGACTTTGGTTTTTATAGCTCAGTGTTTATTCCTTGCCATTGGAGATACGTTCCTTTTTGTGTACTGTATATAGAGTTTGAAGTCACTAAAATAGCATGTCTATCCATATCATTTGACGGAGAGACTCCTTCCTTAATCTATAAATACACGTACAACTTGAATCCAATAACAGATCGATCAATCAATCCCCGCTATCAGAGATACTACTGAAGCTCAAGTTGAATCCATCCAATAACAACGAAGATCAACATCCTCATGACGACGACTCCATCAACCGCCGTCCTCATCATCGCGACGCTGCTGCTCATCTTTAGCGACGACATTTTCGTCGTCGTCGTCCCCAATAGCGCCTACAACACAAACAAGATCGACAGCGACTGCGGCGTGCTGCTTGGTCCCCTCGACATCAGCAACAAGGTCAGAACCCTAGCACTGAAATCCATGGACGCCGCAATTGGTTTAACAGCCAACGACAACCCCAATACCTGCGCACGTGCTGTTGGTGGCGATATCTGGGTCTTCGCCGCCGCCAACTGTTCCGATCGGATATCTAACGATGAATGCAAGCTCTGTCTCTACAACGCGGAGTTCAGGGTCGTCGACCGGTGCGTTGGTAAGGTCGGAGGTTGGCTTGCGCTTGTAGATTGTTTCGTGAGTTATAGCCGCGATCCATTCGTCCTCTGTTAACCATTTTTGTAATTTATTAAATTTTATTAAATTATTAATATGATAAATTATATAGACACAATAAGTACAATGATGAGGTGAAAAGAATTTTTTTTTTTAATTTTCACATCATTTAGTTAACGGTCAAACTTTATAGTTGACTGCCACGTAGGACAAACTTAACGGAGTGTAACGGCCGGTGACCAACCGTGAAAAGATTCGTAAAGTTAATGAGGAATAAGAAAGAAAAGTAATTCGGGTGGTGAACGTGAAAGATTTGTATAATTTGAGTGACCAAACGTGTAATTTAGCCATTTTTAAACAAACCATAAACATCTTCAACCACACCACATTCGTTAATAAACAAACCATAAATGAAACTATACGAGAAACTTTATATTAGAGGGGGGAAAAATCAAACCATAAATATTTTTAAACAAACCATAAACATCTTCAACCACACCACATTCGTCGATAAACAAACCATAAATGAAACTATACCAGAAACATTATAACAGAGGGGGGAAAAGCCAAACTATAAATATTTTTAAACAAACCATAAACATCTTCAACCACACCACATTCATCAATAAACAAACCGTAAATGAAACTATACCAGAAACATTATAACAGAGGGGGGAAAACCAAACCATAAATATTTTTAAACAAACCATAAACATCTTTAACCACACCACATTCGTCAATAAACAAACTATAAATGAAACAGTAAACCAAAATTCAAAAAGAGGTATATTTGTCTACTTACAAAAAGAAGATGAACGTCACCAGTTGATGCGACCCCGCTCACCCCGCATGACGTCACTCAAGCTCAAACTAGATGCCTACATGGACCATGGTTCAAGAGACGATTTAAGAGGTTTAAAGAGAGCTTGAAAGCATTCAAGGTGGAAGAAAAGGTCTTTGCAAGCAAGGCCTACGAGTTTGTTGATGTGAAATCAATTGGCAGAATATATAATTCTCGTGGTCCAAAGATGAAGGTCCGAGTACGACGATACAAGGATCAAATGGGATCATTCTTGATGGACGTGGACTTGCTAGAAGGAAAGTCCATCACGTTGCTCGATTTATGGACTAGAATGAAGAGAAGATGGGCTTGGTAGAAGGAAGGAAGATCTCCCATGGTGTGAACACAAGGTGTGAAAGGAATACAAGTGTGAAAGGAATATCAGGTGTGAACACAAGCCAAGTGATGGAGGATTGCAAGGCTAGAATCTAGGGAGTTGTTGACCAAGTCTTTTCCTTATCTTTTAAGGATTGTGTTTTCCTTTTACTTTTCCTTTAAGGTTTTGTTTTCCTTTTAATTGTAGGATTTGGTTATTTGTTTGCTTTCTTTCTTAGTTTAGGATTGGATTTTCGTTGCCTATATAAGGAGGATGAGCCCCTCATTGTAATTCATTCTATTATCAATCAACTTTCAAGTTCAAACGAACTGGTTCTTTGTGCAAGCCTCTGTCGAGAGTGCTCCAGAGGTTTCACGTGTCTCTTATCAACTAGAGAACGCGTCTAGTTGTGGCAAGCTTCTACCCTATATCAATTGCCCCTTTCCACGAGTTGGTGCTGTCCGATTGGTTTCATATACCAATTGCCCTTCATCACGGTTGGGATTGTCCGAGTGATTCCGCATCTATCTATATTTTTCGAGTTCAAGAAAGGCGACATCAGAAAATCATAAAAAGATCGTTGAAGCTGCGTACTTTGGTCACATCAAGTGGTATCAAGAGCCCAGTTCAAACACAGCGGAGAAGAAGAAGGTTCTTGGGAATCTTGACGTGTTCTTGAAGCAATCTTGGCGAATTCTTGTGGGCTGTCAGCGCAAGAAACACTACCTTGTGCCACAAGAATGGATGATCCAATGAAGGCAATGATGGATCAATTGGCAGAAATTCAGCGAACCCTAGCAGCCAACGCCGCAGACGTTAATGCACGATTCGCCATAGTCGAAGCAAGGCTAACCGCGGCTCAAGCTCCTGCGCAAGAAGCACCACCAAACCCTAATGCTGAGAGGCCTAGGCGAGAAGATGAAGAGCAAGGAGAAAGGAGGATTGTTCCGACCCCCATGGCCGAACAATTGAGGCGCCATCGTCCTTTGGGGATGTCGCGAGCAAGAAGAGGGAATCCTCGAGTGCAAGACGAAGAAGGCGAGTATGATGACGATGATGCCAACCTTAGAGAATTTGAAGACGAATTGAGAAATGTGAGGGTCACTATTCCATCATTTAGAGGTGCTACCGATCCCGAAGCTTATCTTGATTGGGAAAGAAAAATGGAGATGATTTTCGACTATCACAACTATTCCGAGAGGAAGAAAGTTCAAATGGCTGCAATGGAATTCACGGATTATGCTATCAGCTGGTGGGATCAAATCTGTACGAGAAGAAGGAGGGATAGGCAACGTGATAACGATGTAATTGCATGATTTTATACCCCCATTTCTTACCCATTTGCGGAGCATGGTTGTGTGTTTTGGCCTATTTTACGCCGGGTTGTGCTACTTTGTCCTATTTCAGGTCCCAGGCGTCAAAGGGGAGGCCAAGCACGAGTTTCGGATCGTTTGGAAGTCGTTTGGACAAGCCAGGGCCAAAACACGGGCAGGAGGCCCTCAGAACACGGCCGTGTTCTGTGACCGTGCTTTTACTGCCGAGAGCTGATTTGAGTTTGGCCAACTCGAGCTGAAAACACGGGCTGAAAGCACGGCCGTGTTCCACCAAAGCACGGGCGTGTTCTCCCAAAAGCACGGCCGTGTTTTCCCCAACTGCTGGCGGTGTAATTAACCCTAGCCAAAGCACGGGCGGGCTGAGGCAAAGCACGGCCGTGCCCTCGACCGTGCTTTGGCCACTGATGCCCTTTTAAGCAGATTTTCAGCCAAAAAGAAGGGGATTCGAGTTTTAGAGAGACAGAGCGATTCCTAGAGAGAGAAAGCGACGGACAAGAGCCTCCAAGTGCCCTAGATCGATCTTCAACACCATTGGAGCTTGGTTTGAGCTTGGAGAAGTGCCGATTCAACGTCCAGGAGCAGAAATCCATCTTCATAGTATGATTTCCGCGTCTGATTCTGCTTTTGCTTCTTTCTCCATGGAGTAGTTCTCCCATTCATCTGGGTATGGAGAACCCTAGTTCTGTATGTTAGGTTTGATTGTATGAACCCAAGTACTGTTTTTATGAATTGATTATATTCGATTGAGGTTTGAATGATTGTATGGCATGAATCCTGATCAAATTCCTGTTGTTTCTGCTTTAACCTAGAATGATAATATCTGCCTAGGTTGATAGAGTATCCTTAATCGAAGGTAGTGAATTGGTGACTTTAGTCGAGGAGCCAATTCACTATTCTGTACCGGTTTTACTCCGGTAGTGGAGGTTTTGTTCTTAGGGCCTCAATCTGTTTACTCCGGTGTAGGTTAGTCGCCAGCTAGAGACTCAGATTGAGAGGGTCTGAAGACCTTTAGTCGAGACTTCAGACTGTTTGAGAACCTTCCGCAGTATAACTTTCATAAAAATCGAACTTGGCAATTACAATCCGGCTTAACTGCAAACTAGGGGGAACCATATCCGGGTGACCTCTCTTAACCTGAATACAAACGTTTAGTTGCTTTGCTTGCTTGTTAGTTTAGAACTTCACTAAAGTTTCATTGCTAGATAATACGAATTCACTGAGTAGTCATCACATCTAGGACCCGGGTTGACATTAAAACCCAACCCGCTATACTACGCTTTAGGAAGTGGTTACACTTGGCCAATTTCTAGAGTGACAGTAACAGCGAGTCAAGTTTTTGGCGCCGTTGCCGGGGACGGCTAGGTTGTCGAAGAAAAGTGATTTCTGTTACTTTAGCATTTTCATTTTTGCATTGAGTTTTTGTTTTTCCCACTTGTGCCTTCACGGGGTTTGCATTGCTTGATTGTGTGCAGATAGTGCATGACCCGTAGCCAGTCGGGAGGTTTACTGCCGTTGAATCCTGAGATTGAGCGCACCTGCAAACAACTTCGGAGACAACATCAAGCTAGACTGGCTACGGTGGAGCGCCGAGACGGCCAATTGACCAGCGACTCCGAGGACGAGCACGAGATGGAAGGCGATCAGAACCCGCCTCCTCAGAATCAGATCCTGTGGAACGACCCAAACCCCCAGGGAGCTGGCCATCATCATCCACCACCACCGGGTCCCACCTTGGAGTACTACTATACTCCACGGATTGCTGACATCCGCCCGGTCATCCTCTATCCGTCCATTCCTGCAAATAACTTTGAGATCAAGCCATGCTGGATTCAGC